TAGCCATATGGCATATTACAGAAGGAGAGTGGAGGGTCAAGTCTTGCAGTACTGTTCTTTGCATACAAAAAGGAAGCATTCATGCAAGACTTGGATTTTGCTTCTTTTCCAGTACTGGTGATAGCTTTGCATGAGCCACTATTATTCTATTATTCCTCCCCTCTTTGGCTACTAAGACATTTGTAATAGGGCTGACTGTCCTAACCAGCAGAGTGTAAGGTCATGAAATAAGACACAGTCTTTGTTTCTTTTTAAGAATTACTCATTTATTTAATTCCATTTGTTATTATTATTTTTTAATTTGACCAGAAAGAGGCAGAGAGAGAGAGAAGAGGGGAGAGAAATGAAAGCCAGAAGGCAAGCCACCAGGTCTGGAACTCGAACTGCAGTCCGCCATGTGGGAATCCAGCACCTTTAACCTCTACGCCACCTGCTAGCCCAAGACAGATTCTTTACTGCAGTTATTGATCCTTATCTGGAAGCTTCATTCTTGGTCAGTGGAGACTTTAGCTAGGGAAGCTAATGAATTCATTAAGGTAGATCCCCAAAAAGGAATCAGAGTGTGCCTCTTCGTTCCTGAGAAAGGAACTTCTTTGATATCATTTAGTTTAGGATTCTTTCATTTTGAGAATGTATTTAAAATTGAGTTTGAGAATGCAGTTAAAGGTAACTATGAAAGCAATAGGCAATGAAAGGAATGAATCTACATTCATATATTCAATTTAGTAGAAGAATAGGGGTTCCAAATCTTTTCTTTTTAAAAAAGAGCTAGGATTTTCACTTTTAAATATATACGATTCCTGGTTAAAAGAGCTGGATCCCACATGGCTGACTGAAGTTGGTGTCCCAGCCCTAGCAGCTTGAAAAACATGCTGAGAGCATGTGTATCTGTGCCCCAAATCCTGGCAGGATGGAGAAGTGGAGAAGAGATTGTAGTGTGAACAGGCCCCATTGGGGATGGTTTCTCCGTCTCCTTGTCTTTCTCTAGTTGGCAAGTGGACATGCCCTCTGACAATTAAAAAAGCAAAATTCATACACATCGAAATGGAGCTAAATGCTGGCCCAGCAAAGGGTTTTCAAAGCAGGAAATTGGTTTGCCCACTTCTACCTCATTTTCCAATTTTCTCTTATGCTCAATGGAGTCAATGTGTCTGTGCTAAGAGGGGTACGATTGCAAAGGATTAATGTGTTAGTGGAAAAAAAAATAGGAAAACACAATGGAGAAAAAAATATTAAGGAGTAATTTTGCCGCCCAAGGAAACAACCTCCAGGCCTCAGGAGGCCAGGGCAGTGAGACCTCTTCAGTTCATTCAGAAGTTGAAACTCAGAGGTAATATGGCTTTCAAAGAGAAGCATTTTGTGCTGGCTTTGTGGTTCTAAACAAGAAGGGCCCAGAGGCCCAGAGGAAAACCCACAGACCATACTTCAAACTTGCTTTATTAAGTATCTTTATTAAGTGGTCACTCTCCTATGGCTCTCCCGCCCAGTGACAGCAAATGCTCACAATTTTCAAAGAAAGGAAGACTGATTCTCCCTTATATGTGTATTGAGATGTAGATCTCCCTTGAACTCTTCTTTCATTGGAAACTCATCACCATCCAGAGGGACAGTCCAATGTCCCTAGTCAGATGCAGATGGTCAGGGTGTCAGTTAACAGTGATCTAATTGATTGTAAGCTCTCTGGACTCCATGGCTGGGGAGGGAGGAGAGTCCAGAGATTGGCCAGTAACAAGAGTGTACCCAAACTCTAAAGTCTGAACTCAGAGCTTCTGAGTTTCCACATTCACTTTAGAGGATTCAGAGTTTGAATCCCACTAATCCTTTGACCCTCTGCCTTTCGGATCCAGAACGGTATGTGGCACGTGCTCTAGTGCTCAAAACATATGTCAAATCAGTCAAATCATGAATGAATTAAATCTATGCCCTTCTACAAATGACTTCATTCTTCTGATCCTCTAATGTGGGGATAATGTCACTTTGTGGATTTGTTTCAAGCTTAAATAGCAAGGCACACCTTACAGAATGTGTAAAATGTCATAAAATGTTATGCTACAAGGTGCTGGCGGGATGTGAAATGTGCAGGTATGTTTCAGATGACAGAAAACTGTAGGTGTGATAGGTAAATGAATCTCAAATACATTCAACCACTGATTAAGAAGAAAGTTAGTGAGATGGGAGGAGGAGAGAATAAAAGGGAGGGTGGGAATATAGTGACTATTGTAAAGCCAGTTGAATTATTTCATGGGGCAAATTTTCTTTTCTCAATAAATCACTCTGTGCTGCCTCCACGCCAAAGACAAGAGGACTGTAAAGGAGAAGAGTTCATAGATGTTCCTTTCTGACTTCTGCACCCAGAGTGCATGATAAAGACGACTCCTCCCACGTAATTTCATTTGAACTTCTTCCATGGTCCTTTTTATAGGTTAAAGTCTTTCACTATTTACAAGGCTGTACTTGGAAAAACTGAAAAACTTTTCCCTTGGTTGAGAAAAAGAAGCCCTTATCAGATGCGGTCTAACAAATGAATGAAGTTATTCCCTTGGCCAATGTCTCCCTCCACTTGCATATCAAATATTTACAGAGGCAACTTTCCCCAGTTCCATGGCTGGGATTTCACTCTCCCTTGGCGTTGCTAGTATTGGATGCGCGGATTTCTCAAGTCAGCGGCAACAGACGACTTTGGAAGCCACAGTCCTTGCCTTTTGTATGGTCGATGCGTCCTACTGTCCTGTGAGGTAGCTTCTCCTGGGAGCAAAATGTGTAAAATAAACAGTTGCTGAAAAACACGAAGAATTAACGAAGTGAAAATCTCCGGTTATCTGTTCCACAGTTGACACGCAACTGACCTTAAATGCTCAGTTGTTTTAAGGACGTTTAGAGGGGGATGAATGAATCTTCAGAACGCATACCTCACTCCAGCGTGTAAATCGATTTAGTCTCTCGGGAAGTGGCGGTAAATTCATACAAATCCATCAAGGAGGGGAGAAAGAGGGGTGCAACCACAACCTGGGAGCTCTCCTCTCAGTCCTTGGGAAAGACGCCTATGCTGCTCAGGACCCTGGAGGTTACGGCTGGAAGAACCCGGAGGCGCTAGGACCTGGCTGGCGCCTGGCTGCGGTCTCTAAGGGGAGGGCGGAGGAGGGAGAGGAGGGGGATGTGGGAAAAGAGGAGTGTTAAGGGGGGCGGGGGGAGTCATTTATGCAGAGCTGGCGCTGCTGCCATTGCCACTCGCACTCTCCGCGCGCGGCTCGAAGCCGGAGGGAGGGCTGGGAGCGAGGGAGCGAGTGCTCAGAGCCCGGGCCAGCAGGCCAGCAGAGGGGGCGCCCAGCTGCTGCTTGCATTGCCCCCGCCGACTGACTCCGCGGCGCTCGGGGGCCTGGGGAACAGCGAGAGCGAGTCCGCAACTCC